CCCCTCCTAGATCACTATTTGGGTCAGGAACTCTGTCGGCAAGCCCGACGTACGCAAACCCGACTGATATTCCAAAGAGTTACTTGAATACAGGCTCTGGTAGAGTAGATGGGAACTGTCAAACTAACAGGACCAGCAAAACTACGATACATTCTTTTTCAGCTTCCAGGAAAATCAGATCAACAGACAGACTGTCCCCCAATCGAAGTATATAAGGAAAAGTGGTGAGGTACCTAAGGCACAGACGTCGGCCCTGGCAGCTCTTAGACTAGCAAAAGCAGGAGGTGAGGGCGGAACCGTTAGCTGAAGATGCAGGACGAAAAGGCAGGTAGTAAGGCCTTTACACGGAAGCAAAATTACAAAGCAAGGACCAAACTTGGGCAGGCAGGACAAAATTCGGGGCTCGAGCGGACTTTTTGGGAGTTCATGTTTAGAATATAAACATTGAGGGCAGCATCACACAAAATCTAAGGACCGGGCGAGAAAGATTGGCGGACTTCACCGCACAGACGACACACAGACCCTGGAACGCATACTTGCAAGCATCCGCATACATGCACACAACCGACTTAAGTCCGATTAGAAAGTTTGCACGGGCGAGTGGACAAGGAGATTGCAGCGGGAGATGCGCTGCTATCCACTAGCAGAAAGGTCTGGGCCGTGGTTAGAGGAGTTGCGATTTCAAATGAGTGGAGGTGGGGTGTAGGCAGGAAGAATGGCGGCCAAGCGCTCTCTGTCGGAGGCGCTGAGTCTGTCCGGGTAGACGACATCAAATTCCACAATAAGGTCACCACGGCGGTTGGGTTCTTTTGGATAAGGAAGACCCTCGCCAGATATGCGTCGTGTAGTACCGGGGCGGACTATAGTGTCCCTAAGAGCCATGGGTAGCCTGCGATTGTCTATGGTGGGAACCTGGATGGTTGTGCCGCACAAGGCCTCGCGCAGACCGATCTTGGCGACGTAGCGAACATCGGTACCCTCACGCTTAAACCACTTGTGGGAACGATCTTTAACTGTGAAGACAATGTCTGCGGGGATATTGTTGGGTTTCTCGTCTCCCTCCCGAGGGAAGGTGATTCGGGTGCCGGCCTTCCATCCTTTACGCACTTCAATCTCCAAAACCTTCTCCTCTTCGCGTGTGGTTCGACCGTCAGGGTTCAGGCGCCTGCGAGTAACGCGAATTTTCTTTGTGGTGCCGTAGAGGACGTCCTCGAGGGAGACACTGAGATCGTGATGGATTGGCGGATCTTGTGTTCGCCTCTGTTTAGCGCCACTGTCCATAAATATGCCCTGTAAAAAAAACAGAACAGGAGGTAATTTTAGGTATAGCCGCAAGAAAAAGACCAAGAAACCATTACATATCCCCCTAGGTTGGTGAGGATGCGACAAATTTAGGTCGAGATAACCTCTAGGGTCGGCGTTATTCTGCTGTTGCAAATGACCGTTAGTAAAAAAGGTAGCGTGAAGATCCCTACAACGGATTCTTGTTTGCTGTGCTTATGCCAATTCCTGGTTGTCTTTCACAAGCTCAACCTGACAATGGCGAGCGTGTGGGAGGGCTGACTGGACCTATGCCCGGTACACGTGGTCAATGACAGCGATAGAGATAACTCAGCGACTCGGTGGGCATTTTCGAACGTTTAAAAACCCTGCGGGCATCATGATAAAAATTCGACCCCGTGAGCTTTCCAACTTCCGACTTCTTGTCACTGATAAATGGTATTTACGAGTTGTGACTTCTGCACGAATAAACCGGTATCGTAGGCGCTGTTGGATGGACGTCCCTCGCCCGAGACGCTACATTCTGTAAGCCACTACTTACAACTTGGTGCGGCTGTGATCATGTCTAACCAAGCCAATCTCGGTGGTTTACCTCTCCACGCGTGATGACTTGCGGCAGCCGATCTGGACAACTCGACACATTCTCATCAGCGACGGAGAGCGAAAAACCGAAGGCGAAAGAACCACTTCCATGTCTTGAAGAACCATGTCGAGCCAGGTTTCGAATTAACCCCCTCTTCAACACCCCCAGGTGGGCGACGACAGTGGATCGCGTGAGGCGGACGACAGAGAACGTGCCCAAACCACCTCAGTCGCCTTCCTTGGATGGCCTCAGTTGTCCTTGCGATGATGCCGCAGCGAGTGCGGACTGCCTCATTTGAGATGAAGTCGGTGTACTTCATTCCAAGAATGGCCCTCAAACAACGGTGGTTAAGTACCTCCAGTCTTCGCTTATCTTCCAAGCACAAGGTCCAGCATTCACAACCCTAGAGAAGGACTGACCAGACGGATGAACGGTACACGCGGATCTCCGTAGCGATGGGGATGTCGCGCCCGGTTCATAGACACTTCCCTAGGATTGAGAAAACCCCACGAGGACTATTCTTGCTCCGAGGCATTTGAAACTGTCTACCTCTTCAGGGTGACAACCACTAATTACGGGAGTAACTTTTCCCTGGTTAATGATGCAGCTCAAGAACGATGTGGTCTTCCCAGCGTCTATGGATAGACCGAAGGAAGAAGAGACTTCATTCACTCGTGACACCACAGACTGTAGATCAACGAACCTTGGGGCTAGCAAGGTGATATTGTCAGCGTAGTTTCGATCAGTCAGTCGGCGTCCGGGTGCGAACTCCACACTGTTAAAGCCGTGTAGGGCCCTTCCGAGAATCCAGTCAATGGCGTAATTGAACAGAACGTGCGACAGGATACAACCTTGTCGAACGCCAGATCGGATATAAAACGGCTAAGAGATACTAAGGTGGACAAGAACTATTGAGGTTCTACAGATTTCAGAAGTAATTATCGTGTCCAGTTGGTGCACACCAACTGAAACGGATACCCTTCCAAAGTTTCAAGTGGGTCCGAAGTTTCCACATATTTATGTGCAAGTGGCTCGGAGGAGACTCTAGCAAGCCTTGGACATGAAGCCACAAACTCCACTAGCCTTGAGCTTCTGAATGTCCAGATCAGCATGACCTGCAGTTCAGATGTACATTTACTATGGAGGTCAGGGACGTGTAGGGTAAGCAGACAGAAATAACCAGAGGACATGCTTTGGATATGCTGTGCGGCACCAAGACTAGGTCTTCAGACATGTGCTAGTCGGGTTAATTGATCCGACCCATACCGGATGCTACAAATATCCTCTACGACCGAGATATTTTCTCTACACCTTGCACGTTTAGCAAACCGAATGTAGTTCAGGTCAGAGGGCAGCCGAAGATGCGCCTAACGAAGAGAAGACTTGAGGGGGGATGATTTTTTAGCAGATCGCGGATCATAACTACAGCGCTTTCTAAATGTGTATACTGTTCTGAATTCACCGACTGTTTAACGATGACAATTTTGGGATTGTATGGGGGTTTCCAAAACCGCAATCGAGTCGCGTTGATAATTAGTGCGGCTCCTAGTCAGGGGGAAACGCGATGGTTGGCACTCTAATTCCCGAACCTCTGAACGCCATCATTGCCAGTAATGGTCCATCCTCGTCTGCCTTGTAACCCTTACCCCTGCGTTCGACTTTGTCCATCGATAATCACTGCATCTGATCATTCTACATGACGCATGACATCATCTTTACTTGATGTGACTAAATAACGGGGACCAAAGTCCATGTGAATGCCGAGGAGAATGAGTTCCCTTATGCCACCTCTGGCGTCCGTCAGTGCACTGTTTTCTTAGAAACTCTGCTCTATTACGTGACGTACTGGGTTCCTGGACGCGCTGGCAAACCACCAGGGTGCTTCAATAGGTCGTGATTCGTGCATAACGGGCCTTAACCAGGCTTGCGATGTTGAGGTAGCGGACAGCTTTTCGCCAGAATCGCAGCATGCTGAGTCCCGATGACGGCGAAGATAGTGTGGAAATCACTTCTTGAAAAACAAAATGACCACCTCAAGTTTGCCGGCCAGATATATCTCAGAGGCTATGAACGGTGAAACCCTTATGCCAGTGGACAGTTCCTGTCACTCGGGATCTTCTTCCGAAAGCAAGGCATGAGTGAAACAGACGACCACATCAGCTAGGTACATGTGGAAGGAACAAAATAGGTCTGAAGACCATGAGGCAAGTTTAAGAGGCCCATAGCAAGACAACCCCTACGTATGATTACGAGACATTGACCGAACGCTCATAAGATGCCATTAGCCCAGGCGCAATCGATAGATGGTTTTTGTGTTCCATTCCTTAAATGCCTCTACTGTCACTTCTACCAGTCGCTCACGAAGAGGAGAGGATTCGATTGTGGGCCGTGATGATCCGACAGTTGAATTGTCTGACGTTTTGTCCCTAACCTGCATTGGGCGGCGGCGGCGGCGGCGGCGGCGGCGGCGCCAAAGGTCGCTGACTGAAAAGGTTAATGGGCACGGCGAGAGCTGGCATCGAGCGCATACCCGCCCTCTGGGTCTTCAAACTTCAGGCCTGGAGTGGCCAGAGAGTTGGCTCTACCCGGCAGTCCGTCTCTGACCAACGCGAAGCGGTCGTCCGTAAAACGGTGGACCCCTGGCATGCACGTGGTCGAAGCAGTCATAAACGTTGTCACAAAAGGTCACTAAATGCCAATTTTTGAGAATCACTTTGGACTTTGACGAGCTGAAGAGAAAGCGGTGGTTACTTGCAGATGTGGCGTGCCTGTTTTTGTATGCACCAGGAGTGGCCACACCAGCAGCATATAAACGGTTTGGCAGACTTATCCCAATGCTTTCAATTACGCGCAGGAAGTTACGCGGACAGTAATTGGGTATGTCACGAAATACAACTTGCTGGTTAACTGGACAACAGAAAGTAGTAACGGCAGCACAATCCAAAGAAACGCGTAGGAGGGAACGGCTGACTTCCAGTTGGGGTTAAATAGGCTAGGGTCAAGTTTCAAGTCAAACTACAGGATGACGAATAGGTAGAAGAGTAGGAAAACTGGCATATATCGCAGGCCATGGCATCTATAGGAGATCAACATATCAAAGCAGGACTGTTCTTGGAAGCAGGATAACAAAAGACAGTCACTTTGTTGACTTGTACTGTTCAAACCTATGACCGTCGAGTAAAGATATATCAGAATCGTCGTCGTGGAACTCAGAGCGGCACCTGTAGCGCACACGTCCGTATTGAAAGCAAAAATTGCAACTTAAAGCAACTCCGCTAGGAGCATACTATGAATAATATCATGACGCAACGAGGTGATGAGGAAGGCGGCTGGGTAAGGCGGAACCGGAACCATACATTTAGTTGTGACTGTGGGAAAAACGCAGGACTCGCCGAAAGGTCGTCTTACGACTATTCAAAGTCTGGAACAATATGTTTCGTCATGTCTACAGCTACAACTGCAATTAGAAAGCTCACAAACGGCACGCCTATAACTAAACAACAGCATCAGGAGCTGTCACTTAAGCTCTGGTTCCGAGTTTATGTTAGAGAGCATAGTGGCCCCTATGCGTTCCGGGACGCCAGAGAAGACAACCATGACTCACTTTAAAGGGGCTTCCACCGAAGAAATCGCTATCAACATCCATACGTTCGCCAGTTGAAAACATATTGCCGCCCATAAAGCTACTGAAGGGGTCGTCAGTTCCAAAGAAGACGCGGAAGGTCTGGCGGGGATCGCCGTGGAAAACGTATGTTCCTGACTGTCCCCTTCCAGGGGCCTCACCCAAGCCCCCTTTCAGGCCCTCTTCGCCATATTTATCGTAGATCTCACGTTTTTTGGGATCGCTGAGGACCTAGCGTGGCGCGTTGTAAATTAACTGCAGCAAACCTCGTAGGCTTCAGCAACGCTTTTGAACTTTTCCTCCGCGTTTGGAGACTTGTTTTTATCAGGATGATATTTAAGAGCCATTTTGCGATAGGCTTTTTTGATATCATCTTCGCTCGCACCTTTCTCCAGGCCCAAGACCTTATAATAATCGACACCCATCGCACGAAATGGCCCGAACACCAAGTATCAAACCTCCCGGGTGCAAGAAAGGAACATTCGAGAAGGAAACTGATTGGTTCGTATCATCTCCGCGTTTTATACGTCCAATCAGTGCAGGCACTCGTGTGCAGATCTAGTGCAAGCGCTGAAACATTCGAGGAATCTATAAAAGGGTCATTATCCAAAGGGCAACCGGCAGAGCGGTGAGTTGGCGAAACTGAAATAATAGCCATATTAAATGGGCCCGACCCGTTACACCGAGAAAATTAGTTACAGACGAAATAACAAGTCTGAACGGATGAAAAGTCGTCCTGTAATAGCATAAACAGCTGATAAATGAGTGCCAAGAGCGGATACAAACCGGACGAAGATGGAAGTCAGTTAGGAAATCTATAAAGATTCTTTCTAAGGCGATAAAATTTTGCTCAACATTTGTTAAGAGATCTCTAACAAAACATCAATATTCACTTGTGCAAGGTTGTCGCATCTGTTATTTTCGTGAAATCAGGTACCAGCAGACTGGGACTCAGAACAGGGCTCCCTTTAAATTGAGCTTAATATTTATTTTATGAGGTTGAGCTTAGCTATGGTAATGTAAATATACTACTTCATTTTTGTGGGGTGAGGCCTAAGGCAGTCCCTGCACATGCGCAGGTCCAGTATTAGCTGCAAAGAGTCATTAGTTGTGCACGTATGTTTTTTCGCGGCCTTATCAACTTCTGAGGCCGCCCTCGTAGATTCCCTTGCTCACTTCCATATAGCCGCAGGGTTCATATATTATTGTCTCTGTTTTGCTTAGAAAAATTGGGGTTTTTCAGTCAATACTCTAGGCAAATTACAAACGGGGTGAGCGGGCTTGATTGTCCGTCTCTAAACCTTCTGCATAAACATATTTCGTGCAATGTATGAGAGCCGTGTATTTCATCTGAATCCATGCTGGGACCAAAGGAGTGCGGTGCCAGAGATGGTGACGCAGTCGTGTTGTAGGCCCACTTCATGAAAATAGGGGCGTGGTGGAGGAGCACTCACCGATTGTTTCTACGGAATTCACTTGTCTAGTAGCGCCTTGCGGACCCTCCCTCGAGTCCAAACAGCAGCTGCACAGCAGCGCATGATATAGGGAAAATATTATTACCGACAAAGGCAAGGGAGACTGAAGTGGATATTTCTGGCTCGTTAGCCGTCGTCAGCCAGCCATGCCCGACCCCGGTTGTCGGTTTCACGGTAACACGCGAGCACCCCTCACAAACGGGCACAATAAATTTGCGGAGTCCGCTACTTACTCCTGCACTAGCACAAACTCCCATATGCGCATCTGTGCAACTGAGCTGTACTCAGTGGTCAGACTCATTATAATTGGCGAGCTAAACCGGTTGAATGTGGCCAACGTTGCTCATTAAGAACGGAGAACTTTTGAGTATCCCAGTACAAACCAATAAGGTGGTCATCCATGCAAAGTCAAGAGTGAACGCACGTGGCTAGAACGTAGGAAGTTTTCATTCAGCTAGCGGGTTGTCCTACCATGGAACTCGCTACCAAGCGAGATCGTGACAGTCGACACAATTTGCATGTTCAAAAGAAAACTTG